AAAAATGAGCACAGTATTAGAGATGTTACATGTGAGATTCTGTGGATCCCCCCTGCCTCAATTACTATGACGCAGAAGTAATGCAGTACATCTTTTTCTATTTTCCCCCATCAATAACAGAATAGCAGCACAAGCCATTCAGAGTTTACACTAAATCATCTTTAGTGAGATTCTCAATTTTCAGTGTTTGTCATTTCTGTATGAGTATATGTGCTCTATATTGCTGCCTGTCTAAAATATTTCAGTGTGTTTCAGCTTCCTTCAACTTTCCTCATAACCATAAACATGACAAGCTCCATGTAGGGACTGTGGAATTTTTCCATCTGGTTCTTGACTTACAGTAGAATCATAGAATCTTTAAGATTGGAAAAGACTACTAAAATAAGTCCAATGATCAATCATCTAGTCCAAGTATCAACTTGAGGTATCAGTAACAGTATATGCAAAGGTTACAGAATCAAATCTTTCAAGACAATGACACAGAATCAGTTCCCTAGCTTACATTGTGAAGAGCTGATCAAAGGGTGGAACAGCATTTCAGCCCCACGAAATGAACATGGGCAGAGGTGCATTAGCAGATGAAGAGGGATGGGGAGATCTGCCATCCAGTGGTTTCTTTCTTACTCCCAAACAGTTGCCATGGTTCTGCTGCATGCTACCTGGTTACCTGGGTCTGTGTTTGAGAGGGAATAAAGCCAGGAAACTCACTCACTCTGCACACCCACATTTTCAGCAGTGGCAGCTCTGTTATGTGGTAGTGCTGCTGGGTCTTTGCCTACAATAACTTCACAAATCCAAAAGCTCAGATTCCTCCTTCTGCGCTTGTCATCATTCCAGAAACTGGAATTGTTTTCAGATAAGGCTCCTCCTACTTCCAGTCAGCATCCAGCTTTTGAACTCAATTATGTGTTATTTCCTTTTTCAAATGGTAGCTGAAACAGAAACCCTGCTGCATTTGGGTGGAGGCTGCTGGATACTGCCCTTCTCCCATAAAAGCCCTGCCATGAAGGAAGTCCTGAGGCAGCTGTGCCCACAACTATAACATACACACAGCTCAAGCAAATGCCCAGAGACGGTGGGGAGTCATCCTGCAGCAAACATGTCAGGTCGGTGGCATTTCTCTGATACTCTTCTAAATAATTCATTGTATGAAAGCTTCTTTTCTACTGACTACTCAACTCAGGCTGGCATTGCTCCTCTCCTTCACTGTTTGCATTTTACCTTACACAACAGCACGTTTAGGCAACAGATAAATGTAGATACGTTGCACATAAGGTATTCACAGGATGCTCTCCATGATTTTTCTTGTTGATGAGAAAGCAAACTGTAACTAAGTTGTGCAGGCTTTCTTTTGAGTCTCAGAGATTTTTTATTTTGGAATGGAAAACACCCTTTGGAGATGCCAACTGAGTTTCAGACAAGCTAAAATGATCTAAAACTAGAGGAAATGAATTGTGCACAAATACAATACCACAAGAGCACCTCCTCCAATAAAAGCCCAGGCTAGTATCTAAATTATACCTATCAGTTTCAGCTGTGGATCTGAAAATATGCCATACGCTGCTCTGATGTGACATCTCACTGTATATGTTGCCCTTTAGGCTGTTCTAATTTCTATGGGAACATAGCAAATGTTGAAACAACTGGCGCATCAGAGAGAACTGCGAAGCCGGAAGGTCTGGACTATGCAGGTGAGTGCTATCTCAGTCCTTCTCCTACCTCACACCCACACATGGGCTCAGGGCAAACCCGAGCCCTTGGCTGTTGGTCAGAGCTAAGTGAGTGGTATTTGCATTGCTGTCAGAGATCTTATTTGGGTGCACAAATTATGTTGAGATTGGAGTCACCTTTGAGATGCTGCCAAGAATATTCAAGACTACCACAGAGAAAACGCAAGGTTTGCTGAGCATGTTCATCAAGCCCATTTTTCTCTCTCTCTCCCTTAGAAGGGCTTCCCTCGTGACCTAAAGTTCTGAAAGCTTCCCTAGCATAGTCTTAAATTAAAATAAGTAAATCTTCTGGAACTAATCCAACCAAAGGCTTGGACTTAAAGCAGACCCACTGTTTAGTTTGCACACTAGAGAAATGCACTGTTTTTGAAAAAATATCTTTATATCAGCCATCTGTTGACAACTAGGCTACTTCACTGAAATTAGTCAATTTCGTCACTGTTTCCCTCTTAAGAGATTCAGAGGGATTCAGAACGTTGGCTCAGTCAGAAGAGCCATTAGAAAATTTTGTTTCTGATTGTAAAAATGAAAATAAAAATGATATATGTTGTGCTGTAGGAGTTGCTGCTTCAGAGAAGATTGCTGAAAGAGATTTGAAGAATATGGACAAATATAAAGAAACTATTACAAAAGTGGCCAACAGCAAGTGCATTTCACCATCTGTGGTTGCTGCTGTTATCTCTCGAGAATCACATGCTGGGACAGCACTGAAGGATGGCTGGGGTGACCATGGAAATGCATTTGGTTTAATGCAGGTATGGCCAACCCTTTCAAAACTCAGTGGCCCAAACTGGGTGCAGCGTCAACCAGAAGGTTTTCTTTCCTTTCACTGCTATTTTCAGACAACTTTTCAGTCAGAATAAAGCAGCGCTGATCCATTTTCCAGCTGCCAGCATCAGGGGAGAGATGCTGGAAAATATCAGGGCAAGAACAGCCTGAATCTACACAGTGAAACTGCCGCTTGCTTCCCAGAGCTCTTTGGGAACAAGGAGATTGTTTCTATTTCATATGTTAGATAATTAATCTTGTTTCAAAAAGCACTTTTTAAACTAAGTGCAGAGACCCAGAGGCTGTAGCTACATGCAGTCAGGTTAATTACTCTTTATGTACCATGGGACTCAACTAGTAGGGGTCTTGCTTCATTATTCATGCCTCACTAGTTTGCCAACTTGCACACTTATCTGTACAACCATAACCATGTGCTTCATGTGTTCAGATACACTGTCATAAAAGCTCCGGCCCTCTCAGGGCTGCACTGTGTTGTGGGTAAGATGCAATGCTGCTCCTGCTGCCCTGGGAAGAGAACAGGGATGGAGCCAGGAGTCACCCCCAGGGAAACAACATTTTGGGCACCCTTGGTGCAGATGGGGAGGACAGGAGCAGTTGTCTTGCACCTGAAAAAGCTTATGCAGCAGTAACATGGCTTTTGGCACCTTTGCAGCAAGTTACCTCAGTTTTATAAGGCTCTGATAGACAGAGGTGGGAAAGACACTCCTGTCCACTGCCCCCATAGTTTGCTGTTCATATGTATCTGCTGGCTTTGCCCCTGCCTTGGGCTGAGCTCACTTGCTCTTTCTTACCAGAACAGGTAAAGATCAAAACAAGTACAGGCAGCCTAAAAGTGCTGAAGAACTCTGAACAAATAGCATTTATCTTGTGTGTTGATATTCCTGTCTTCAGGTTGACAAACGGTACCATCAGATTCATGGGGCATGGAACAGTGAAGAGCATATAAAACAAGGCAGAGACATTTTGTGTCACTCAATAAATGATATTCAGAAAAAATTCCCAACATGGAGTAAGGAGCAGCAGCTCAAAGGTAGGTCTTTATCAGCTTTAAAATGTCAACTTTATAACAATCCATACGCATAAAAGTCAAGAATGGTAATGCTGTCAAACCAAGCACTTAGAAAACTAAACACATCCTGGTTACCCTGTTAGTTTTATTAGTGTGTGGAATAATATTTCATGATACTCACTAAAAGGAAAAATGCCATTATCTTTCTAGCAAGCTTTTGGAAAACTTGACAAATATCATTATGTTTTCAGCTGCAAGAAGTAAGGTGTTTTTTTCTTCCCCATCTGCCTGTTTGCTTTTTTTTGTATTTCTATATCTACTTATAAAAAGCTGTCATTTCACAACTCCAAAGAGAGACTATCAATTTCTGAACAGTATGGTTCTCACTGAAGGAAACATGGTTCATTCCCAGACACTGATCACGGCTGAAGCCATCATTATGGTTGGCCCCTTCCTATCCAGCTATGATACAAACGTACCTGATGTTATCAACATCACAAAAGGAAGCAATACTACAAAAGAAGATGTTAGATTTGCAAAATACAGCAAAGAAACAATGATCACTAAGCCTGGATGTAAACCATAATTCCTTAACAATGCTAAAATGCAAATGAAACACGTCGGTGATGAAAACAGCTGAAAATGGTAACATTGCAGCCAAAAAATACTGGTAAAAAGACACCAACAAACTCAAGCGATACACTCAGGTTGTGACTTTTATTTGTTTACTGAGGAAATACTACCTTTGCTTGAGTGTTTCTTTCTCATTTCAGGTGGGATTTCAGCCTATAATGCAGGAACGAGAAATGTCCAGACCTATGAAGGAATGGATGTTGGCACAACACACAACGACTATGCCAACGATGTGGTTGCAAGAGCCAAGTTCTTTCAGAGACATGGATACTGAGAAAGATATCTGAGTCATTATACAATACTTATGGCAAATGCTTTTACATTACCAAAATTGCAAATTGTTAGTCAGTAGGTGATTTTGTTGCCTATTTTGTACTGCTGTTAGACACGCATATTGATCAATAAAATCCAAAGCTGCTCCTGTTAAACAGCATTATGACTCCTTCCTGCAGCATTAATTTGCTACCTGAGAAATTACAAGAGATGAAGACTGCTTGAATCTTTTTTGAAGTGAAAAAAAAAAAACAATGGCAAAAGATAGGTTACAGTTTGGTTCATTAGCTACCTTTTATTCTTTTTCACCTTAGCAGAGCAAATCATTGAAGGCAAACACCAGTCCTTGCAATATACTGTATACTTACATGTATACAAAAGTACTGTATACTTTTAATCTGCTACAAGAGTGTATCTCAGTGTGTCACTCCCTCTTAGATTTATTGCTCTGTTATCAAACACATACTAAAGCATTTGGAGAACCTTAGCTTCAGAGCTGTTGGTTTGCATCAGCTATTTCAAGACAAAGGGGAGAAAAGAAGGAAGTTTAGAATAGCTAAAAGAACAGCAGCAAGTGTATCACTAGGAGCTACAAAAGATAATGAATACTGTGGGGGTTTTTCAACCATGCATTTTTATAGTTCTATTACAGATCTTTCATATTTGTCATTTAAAATATCCTCAGCAAAAGAATTTTCAAAAATCTTCTTAAAATAGTGCATTTCTACATATGTATGTTTCTATATTGGTACCAGACATTGCACCAAAGATTTGTTTGATTCATTTTAATATATTTCAAGTTCTATGGCAAGCAGACATAGCGAATCAATCCTGTCCAACAAGCAAGCCTAACACAAGCTAGCAATGTGCCCAAGTAGCCAAGGAGGCTGAAGACACCCTGGACTGTATGAACAAAAGCGCAGCTCCGCTGAAGGAAGAGATTACTTGCATCTGCTGAGCACTCTCCAGTTCATTTCTAGAACAGAGCTGTTTTGGGCAAAGGGAAGACAAATGAAGTAGAGTGAGGTTGGCAGCAGAGAGCCCCCAGGGTGCGTGGGGCTGGAGGACTTGTCTCATGAGGCAGGACAGCTTTGGGAGGGAATGCCTCGTATCTGGGAGGGATAATGGAGGGGATGGAGCCAAGCTCCTCACAGCGGTGGAAGGTGGGAGGATAAATGACAACAGGCATGAGCTGAAAGAGAAGCTCACACAGGGTAAGACTGTATTCTGCATCTGCATCTTTCCCCCATGAGCATAGCTGAGCTGTAGAGCAGGATATTGGACCAAAGACCTGCAAGGTACCTTCCAACCTGAATTATTCTCCCATCTTATGTCAGCTTCTTTGTTCCCTATGCAAAAAGCCTGTATCTCTTACCTGTGCTTCAGGAGGATTTACATGGGGACTATGTTAACACACAGTAGCTTTTTGCACTTTGTTCGGCTCAAGTTTTACACCTGAGGATAAATCTTTAGAGAACTTATGTTTACACACAGAAAATCTGAGAAATTCTCACTGCAAGCTGTTGCGACCTTAGAGCAGATAGTATTTCAGAAACAACCAAACTGACACATATGTTAAAAATGTTAAGAAAATGTAATTTCTTTTCTCATGAAAACTGACAGTCTGTCAATGGCATACATTTCTTGTAGCTAATCCTTACCCATAAAGAATAGGAACTGTCCCAAATGTTTTCCATTTTCTGCACTTGGGAAGCAGGGACTAGCTCTGCTCTATCACAGGCAGTTTATCAAATACATAAGCTGTGCACAGTACTAAGCTAGCCTGGTCATTAATACATCTTTTTCAGTTTACATTTCAGTACTTCTGAAGGTTGCAGTGTCTGTACAGTGAATTGAGAGATCTGTATAGTAACAGAGAGAGATCCTGTATTTGTATATGTTGTGTAAAACAAAACTGGCAGTGCACCCTCTGTTGGAGATTCACCAGGCTGCACTGCTGCAGACACATCCCAAACACACTTGCTAAGACTTTAGAATCCCTGGCTTTGTCAGTTTAGGCTACTATTCCTAGAGCAGGCCTTGTATCTGCTGTCCCTCAGCAACAAGGCAGATGAACAACATGTCCTTCATAAGGGCTGAAACTTCACCTTTACCAAGCACCTCCCTGTGGGAATGCAGAAACCACCATACAAACTGCAGTTACACTACAGCACAAGATGTTGTGCAGACACTGAAATGAAGGACAGAGAACAAAAAAAAACAACACACAATTTATCTGTCTCATTTTTTCCCTTGCTACTCTATATCCTTCAGTCTTTTCTGTGTCCTGATTGCAGCCTGTAGTTTTTTGAGAAACTGAGGTTTTTCAACTCAACCCACATCTGTCTTTGGCCTGTCTTCAGGGGCCATCTCACCCTTTAATGTACTACTATATCCTATCCTTTGCCTTTTTTCTGCACACAGCATATCTAGCTGTTATGTCCTTCTACTGATAATGTATACTCCTTAGAACTTCTACAGGCTTTTACTCTTCCTTGCAAGCATGCAGAAAGGATAAACATTCATTTTCAGCCACTGTATCCCTCTGATCTTTCCACAACATACAGTAATTAAGATTAGCTCCTCTACAATGTCTCTAGTGTGGGAGAGGCTCACAGCACAATAAACGATGGAATTTATGCTTGCTGGAATGAAAACTACTTTATCACTTGATATAGCAGCAGCTTCCTAATTTTAGCCACAATTCTTAAATAGTAAATAAAAGCAGTCTTTAAATCATTGCACACAGTACTATCCAAGACACTCCAGTGAAAGGTCTTATTTTTTATGCTTGGAGCTCTTAACTGCTAACTTGCATCAAACAAATACGCTTCAGGGTTTCCAGATCTCTGTTAGCAGGTGAAAAGCATTAACCTTCATAAAGACTACAAAAAAAAAAAAGTGAAAAAAGTGAAATCAAAAGAAAGCTGGCCATCAGGGTGAGGAGGTGACTGTTCCCCTCTGCTCTCCAATCATGAGCCCCTTCTTCTACCCCCAGTCTGGGGCCTCTAGCACAAGAAGGATGCGGAAGTGTTAGAGCAGGTCCAGAGGAGGGACACAAAGATGATTGTAGGGCTGGAGCACATCTCCTATGAAGAAAGGTTGAGGAAGTCGGGCTTGTTTAGCTTGGAGAAGAAAAAGCTCTGGAGCACCCTCATTGTGGCCTTCCAATACTTAAAAGGCGAGAGACTTACTTTTTACGTGGTCTAATAGTGATAGGAGAAGGGGGAATGGTTTTAAACTAAAAGAGGGGAGGTTTAAGTGGATGTTAGGAAGTAATTTCTTACTCAGACTGATTAGGTCCTGGCACAGCTGCTCAGAGAAGCTGTGGTGCCCCATCCCTAGAGGGGCTCAAGGCCAGGTTGGATGGGACTCTGGGCAGTCTGAGCTGGTGGGAGGCAGCCTAGCACATGGCGGAGGTGGGGCTAGGTGGGCTGTGAGGTCCCTTCCAGCCCAAGCCATTCTGTGATTCTACAATTCTATTTTAAGATACAGGGCAGGCCAGATGACACTGCCTGCTAAGAAACAAACATGAGATTTGAATAACAGAGGTAAGTCACTCAAATGCCTGCATCAATAAATTGAGCTCTGAACGGACAGTCAGTCAGCGCTCAGGTAACCCATGATCAAAAAAGCTTTTCAATTCCTGCTCTTTTTTTAGTGTAGGAAAGGTGAAGTCATGCACCCTCATTGCAAACCTTTGCTGTTAGCTGCCAAATACACTATCATTAGTTAGATCTGTTCTATGTACATACCAGCTTCCATTTCACACACAAGCTCTTAACTCAGGACTTAAATTATTTATTTTAGAAAACATAATTCCAACCAGCACACCTCATGACTTAATTTCTTCCTGCTCCACGGGTTTCAGACGCTGTTTAATGATAAGCTCTCCCTTGCTTGTAAGAAAGGTGTCTGCCATTTCCTCTTCTGTTGGCAACCCATATGGTAGTTTCAACGGCTGTATTCTACAGATAGAAGAGTGTGTTTAGTAAGGCTCTAGGACTAGAATGGAATTGTATCAGTATTCCAAATTAAACACATAGCTAACAAACCTTATCAGATGTTTAACAACTTTCAGTCTGGAATTCACAGAAGGGATATTTTTGTGCAGTCTTGGTTGATGTGCCTATATAAAGGATAGTACTGGTTTTAAAAACATAGTTCCAAAGTACAAATCTCTGTTCACCAAACTTTTCAGTAACATATAAACCACATTTGCAAATTTAGATTTGGAGAAATAATACTGATGTACTGTGACCAAGATGTGATGATGTAGTATGATGTACTATACATGAAAATATGAAACCAAAGCTTGATCAAACTCATGATTCCAGTAAAATGCCAATTTCAGCTTTATTCCCACTACGTTATCAATATATTCAGATTTCGTCCAAATGTTAGAAATGCCTACACATAAATACAGTGTGAGACTTGCTTCAGTTAGGCCTTAAACTTATCACTTTTTTCCCCTCCAAAATATAATATCAACTAGATGAATTTTTGCACAAAGTGCAATTCTACCTTAAAAAAAAAATTGAATAAATCTGACACGAACTCTTAAATCTGTTTGAGCACTCATCACACCTTTTAGATTCAGAAAACTTTTCATTAATAAAAGAGGTCTATTTGCAATATCTGCTTAATATCACTTAGCGAGAAAACTGAATTTGAAGTATTTGCAAATCTGTTGTTATTATTTTAGCAGAATTCTGAAGATAAAGTTCTCCTCGGGCACTACAGCAATACCACGTATTCATAATCTGAATTCCTACTAACAGCAATTTTCGTTACTGTTCCTATCCGCTCTTACACACATGACCCAGTTCTCAATTATGCTTCATAGTAGCTGTAAAACAATCCAAGTTTTGTGACTGCATAAAAAGCACACAACAGCAACAAGAAAAATCAAGAACAAAACAACATCTGAATTCTACCCTGTGTTTCTGCATCCTGAATGCACATTGTGAGTAAGAATAATCACAACTTCCTTACCTTATCCAGTCCAAGATCATGTATGATCTTCTTCTCCCAATATGGGCGGCCGATTACACTTTTGATCCTAGTAACAATATGAACTTTGTGGGGCTGCTCGGGGTCACCTCCATACTTCTCATGATCTCCAGGCCGTGGCTGAAACACCTAGAGCAAAAAGTTCATAGTTTTCAACCCTCCGAATCACACTTCAGCCTTGGTAAAAATCTAACATCTCCAATTAAATTTCTTTTCATAAGGTCAACTTTCCAAGCGATAGAATCACAGAATCATAGGGGTAGGAAGAGCCCTCTGGAGATCACTGAGTCCACCGCCCTGCTGAAGCAGTTCCCTACTGCAGGTCGCAGGAAAGCGTACAGGTGGGTCTCAAATATCTCCATAGCAGGAGACTCTACAACCTCTTTGCAGCCCGTTCCACTGCTCTGTCACCCCCACAGTAAAGAAGCTCAAATGCAGCTTTTATAGCACTGTGAAAATTATAATGGTTTGCTAATCAATACATTAACTCTGAAGTTAGGCCACATGACAGCACGGACACACGGCGTTCTGTAATAGCACAGCGCTTATGACACGTGCACCTCACAGGACAACCTCTGCTTAGCTTACGAGTCAAAAGTTTTGTCACAGGACTAAGAAACTTTAAGAAGATTTAGGAAAAGTCGAATGCAACTTGGCTTCTGAACCGTTGTGAATAAAGCCGCCACATCAGAGAAGGCCCAGAACGAGCAGGCTGGTATCTCTCTGCCGTAATTCCACGGCTTTCAGCCTCCTCTAGGAGGCCAGAACGTACCGACTCGGGAATTCTCGATTTGGTGAACTTGTGCCGAGCCCATGGCGCGGGCACGATGCCTTCCGGTCTTCTCGCCAGCACCTACCAACAACAAAGCGGTCCCCATTAACTACATCTCACGGCGGCTGTAGAAGAGCCCCCCAGCCGCAGGTCTTCCCATCGCCCACGTCTCCCCGTAAGCAAAAGCCCCGACCGGACCCTCTCCATGCCAGCATACGGTCGCCCCCGCCACCCCCTCACCGCCTTCCAGGCAGCGCCGAGCCGCAACCCGCCCCGGCCCGCCGCCATGTCGGTGTGCAGCCTTCCGGCCGGGCACCGCCACCGCAGCGCTTGGGTTCCGAGGGAGGAAGGGCAGCGGTGAAGAGCAGCCCGCCTCACCGGCCCGGTTTCGATTTCCCCGCGGCTCCTCCTCCGTCCCCACTGCCCGTCGCCGTGCCCATGTCCCGGGCGGGGGGCGATGGCACCGGCGCGCTGGAGCGGGCCGGAGCGGAGACGTTGAAGCGGGCGGTGGAATTGGACCTGGCGTCTCGCTTCCAGGAGTCCCTGGTGTGCTACCAGGAGGGCATCGACCTGCTGCTGCAGGTGGTGAAAGGTACCGGGCTGCGAGCGGGAGCGGGGGACCGTGCGGCCATTAACACCGCGCTGTGTGCCGGTGTTGGACCGCGGCCATCTCGGGGCTCGCCGGGAGACCGCCGGCTGCGATGAGACACGAGTCGGGAGGCTGCGTCGTCCCGCTCCCCTCTCGCCTCTGAGGGACCTGGGGCCTGGCTCTGGGAGAACTCATCTCTGCGGTTCTGGTTGGCAGGAACGAAGGATGAGGCAAAGAAGCAGCGGTACCGGCAGAAAATATCCGAGTACATGACCAGGGCTGAAGACATAAAAAAGTATATTGAGAAGGAGAAGCAAGGTGTGCAGGCACCACTGTCTTGCTCACATTTAAATGTTTGAGGTTACCTGGGGATTATGGCATGATTTTACTGACAAAGGTGCTTTTTTTCTTTTTTTTTTTTTTTTTCTTCAGATGGCAAATACCATAAGCAAATCAGGATAGAGGAAAATGCAACAGGTTTTGGCTATGAGAAGCTTTTCCAGGAGTATCTGACTGAGATTGTTTCTGAAGTATGGGTGGAGGACCCCTACATTAGGCACGTCCATCAGGCAAGTAGATATTCAGAGTTGCATATCACAGAATCAGTACGGTTGGAAAAGACCTCTCAGATCATCCAGTCCAACCTCCAGCCCATCCCCTCCATGCCCACTGACCAGGCCCCTCAGTGCCACATCTATGTGTTTCTTGAATACCTCCAGGGACAGTGACTGCACCACCTTCCTGGGCAGCCTGTGCCACTGCCTCACTGCTCTTTCTCAGAAAGGATTTTTCCTAATATCCAACCTGAACCTCTCCTGACACAACTTGAGGCCATTCCTTCTCATCCTGTTACTCTTACCTGGAAGATGAGGCCAACCCCCATCTCATCACAACCTCTTGTCAGGTTGTAGAGAGCGATAAAGTCAGAAACATCTGAAGCTGTGCTACCATTTCAATCCCTATGTCCTCTTTTATAAGCAGCCTATGTATTTCCTTGAATTCCTGCATTCCAGTCCTGACTGCTGTTCTGCTGTGTTTTAATTGATGTAGCAGCTAAAATAATCCAAGTTACTGAATTACACAAAATTGTTACAGTTGTATAATTTCCTGCGATTCTGTGAGATGCTGGTTAAGGGGCCGTGCAAAGTGAAAACAATCCACCTCCTCACTTCCTATGATGAAGTAAGTGTCCAGGTTTCAATTTCCATTTCTCTGTGTCCAGGTAACACCACACAAACACACCCAGCATGCCTACATGTATACATGAATGTTTATATTTAAATACGAATTTATTCATATTTACAAGTACTTGTTTGAGAGTGGCTTCAATGCCTTCAGTAGAAATCACAGATTAAGAGGAAAAACTGTGATAGCTGAACATTAATAATTTCATAAACTCAGAGTTTTTTCATAACAAATTCTTGGTAATGGGATTTTAAATGGAAAAGTTATTTTGGTGAAAGTTTTTTTTTTTTTTTTTTTTTGTGGAAAATGTTATAAAAAAAAATAATCTCTGTTGAGATACTTATTTTTTCCAACTGCTTGTATAGCTCTCATTTAAGAGCTTTCGGTGAGCTAAAGCTTTCAAACTACCCCTGCATTTATGCTGGCTCAAATAGTAATCTGTGTCTAGCTTTAAGGGGTTGAGTGAGATCTTCCTCCACATACCTTAGCAAGTGTACCTGTAATCTGCCTGCTTCTTATCCTGTCCCATGAAAATGCAAATCTGCCCTCACTCAGATGGCTTTCTTTGGGTTTAAATTATTACTAAAAAGGTTTTGTAGGGGATTTTAGGAAGCGGTGACCAAAAATAGGATATATGTTTTTTTAAAAGAAAGTGTTATCTTTATTTTTAACAGGGCAGTGGGAGGAATCAACAGACAAGTGGCTTGGAAGAAATAAAGCAGTCATTGAGGAATCATGGGATAACACTGAATGTTGCATTTTCATCTTCAATCCATGATCGAGAAATTAGGTGGGTGATATTAAAAAAATTAGTGAATTCCAGTTATTTAAACTAATTAGCCCTAGTTGCTGGGATAATTTCTAATTTTTTTAATTTGGTGTACTCATGGTTTTCAAATTCATTTATTTTTAATAACAGATTCAACAATGGATGGATGATTAAGATTGGAAGGGGTCTTGATTATTTTAAGAGGCCACAGGTAAAAACACTCAAACCTCCTTAATTAATTTCCATGGTAGAATAGCTTATTCTGTGTTACCCATGTCAATTCTCTTAATTTCCATAGGGTCGTTTTAGTATTGGATACTGTGACTTTGACTTGCGACCTTGCCATGAAACAACAGTGGATGTCTTTCATACTAAACATACAAAGAAAATGTAATCAACTGCTTTTATTTTTTTTTTATGAGTGTTTTTATAAGCATAGAAATGTAAATTTGTACCACTTGGGTCCAGCTGTCCATCATCAGAAGCACTCCGGAACAGATACTTGGTCCAGCACTGCTTTTATAATCCATAGATTTAAGGATATTTGTGCCTTTACAGTCTGAGAAAACAGAGCTGTACAATTCTTCCACTCTACTTTTTTATCCTGTGATCTTAGAGAATACAACCCATGTCTAAATACAACCTATGTCTTAAACTTAACATAACTTAAACTTTATGGAGAAGGGGTTTTATACCAGCCTTAGTAATGTTCCTTAAAGGCCTCTTCACTGTTATTTTGCTATTAATTTTGTTTGTCTTGAGCAAATGTTGCGGGTTTTAATTTTAATTGACCACCTCAGAAACATCTGAAGCTGTGCTGCTATTTCAACCCATATGTCCTCTTTTATAAGCAGCCTATGTATTTCCTTGAATTCCTGCATTCTAGTCATGACTGCTGTTCTGCTGTTTTAGTTGATCCCATAATACCTGATTTCACAAACTACAAATAGCCCCATATCTAGCATTCCATTCTCTAAGCTCCTTGCATGCAAAAGTTGTAGTGTTCAGTATGCAGACATATTAGAGTCTTCCTGTACATCTCTCTGAATGATGGATTTGGGGCAGAAAAGATGCAAACAATGTTCTAGCTGTATTCTTTCCAGTATTGCTCATGTATGTTCCTTTATTCCTTGCTGCGTTGTCATATATCTGATTTCTATACTTTGCATTAGGCATGGAAAAGTTGCGTGATCCTCTCCCAGATTTCTCCTGACTTCAGGTTCAGCAAGTTCAGTGTCTGTACTTCTAGTCATGCCAGTCAGAACTGCAATAAGCTATTGCCCTGCTACTGAGCCCTTTAAAAAAAAAAAAAAATAGTAATAATGTTTTTTAAATTACTCCAGAGGTTGCATAACCCAAAACTTTCTTGTTTCTTTTTCCTGTTGTATTTCATTATCCCTCTTTAAGTGTTGCCTCTAACAAAACAGATCTATTCCAAAGCTATCAACAAGAAACTGCTGATCTTTGCCCTGTTTTATGGGTAACAGTTTACCAATGGTCTGGCTTGATGTTTTTGCATAAAGATGTCTCAGTTTTTCAGTGTTGAATCAGACATACTGTGTGCCACAGAAGTTATATGCTACCAGGACCCTCAAAACATTCCATAGAAAGTCCCCGTCTTCCTGCTGAGATAATGGGTGTAGTTACTGTCATTGATTTTATTCAGTTGTACATAACATATGCATATCTTTAATGGGAATAAAGGTTATTTTTTATTATTTGTAATTTAAGTCATCTGTCTAAATTTTTCTACAACTCCAAGAAGCCAGGTAATGTCTCAAAGATCAGCTGTTGATGAGAAGAAGTTCATTGAATGTGAAACTTTGTATGTTTTCACCTAGTCCGGATTTCAGACATACAGGGGCTAAATGAAAAACCACTATCAATATTTCAGATCAACTTTAAATCTTAGTTCTCAGTTAGCAATCGAGATCTTTTAAACTCAGGACTGATGGGTGCCTTATGCTTTCTGCATCCTGTCATACCATATGCTTCTTTATTCCAGTAGTAAGCCCAGTGGTGTGGTCCTGTACTGGTACCACAGGAGGTAACCCTGGTCTTCTCTCTCTTCATTTGTAGACCTTCCTGTGCTTCTGACTGCAAAATATCTAAGGCTACTGATTTCTTCCCATATCTTTTGAATATGCACTATCTGTGTATATCTATACTGCTAGACCCTCAGTGACATACCTGTTACAGTGCAGTGCAGGTTTTCTAAGTTCTTTATCTTTACATAGTTCCCTTAATTGTCAGTAGGAACGCTGTATGAAGAGAAATGGACATAAATGAATAGAAAGTTACCTTCTTCAGCATTTATTTTATCAGAGCAATGTAGGAGCACAGGGTTTGCAATCATTTTACTGATTTCTGGTCATATTCTATGCTGCCACTCATGTATGTAGTTAGGTCAACACCTGGATTGTTCAGGCAAGGCTATGCCTCCTGGTACCAGCTAAAGAGGGAAAAGTGATTGGAATTCTGGTAAAAGAAAAGGGAGAAAGGTAATTGTATTTCTGGTAAAATCAAGGAGTGGTAGGTTAGGAAAGTCTCGTTTGCTTATGATTACGTTGTGAGTGTGGATGACACTGAAGTGGTATGCTGCCACCCTGAGCTGAGCTGCTCCAGAAGGTTATGGAATAGTCAGTCCTTCCTGGGCCAATTAGCCCCTTCTCTGCCTCTGGTAATAGCATGAGCCTCTGTATTTTGTAAACAGTTAAAACCAACATGGTGAGGTTTGGACTAGACACTCAGCTAGAGGATCACTGGTGTCTTTGTTTAGTCTCTGGCTTTTGTCAGGCTGGATAGTCACTTTGGCAGTG